CCTTTTCATAGGTGATCTTTTATTATTCACTATCATTTGATTGACTTGCCGAGGTGAGAAGCTCCCGAGAGGCGCCTTCAGCACCGGAGCGTTGCAAAGACACAGCGTCCACCAGCCTCGCCTGTGGACTGCCAGAGCCAGCAGGGGCAGTCCCAAGGCCTCGTCAGGCCTTGCTCGGGAGCCGGCAGTGCTGCTGACGCAGCCGCTGACTCATAGAGGGTCACCGCCGCCCGGGGACGGCGGCCGATGGAGCAGGGGGAGAGGCAGGGGAGCGGGCGGGATGGTGAGCTCACGGCGCGGGGCTGGGTCCCGCTCTGGCAGCTCTGCCCTGGCTGCCCCGGCGGTGTCATCGTCGGCACCCAGGCGGAGTTGATGAAAGGGGAGGCTACAGCGCAGACCTCAGCGTGTAGGAAGAGCTGCTTCAGCCGCTCCAGCCGATGAGTTAGCTTTATTTGGAGCTCGGCTCAGATGCTGCTATAGTATTCGCCAATAGTATGGGGAATAAATAAGATGAATTAGAGATGAATGTGCGTCTAGAGGGGTATGACATCACTGGCATCACAGAAATGTGGTGGCATGGCTCCTGTGACTGGAGTGTTGGAATGGAAGGTTATAGGCTCTTTAGGAAAGACAGGCCGGGCAGATGGGGAGCGGGTGTAGCTATTTATGTCAATGACTGGCTGGAGTGTATGGAACTCTGTATGGAACTCTGTATGGGGATGGGTGGTGGGCCAACAGAGAGCTTGTGGGTTAGGGTCAAAGGAAGAAACTCAACCATCAAAAGGAGCATGACCAGGAGGTCGAAGGAGGTGATCCTGCCCCTCTACTCTGCTTTCATGAGACCTCACCTGGAGTATTGCGTACAGTTCTGGTGTCCTCAACATAAAAAGGACATGGGACTGTTGGAACAAGTGCAGAAGAGGACTGCAAGGAGCTGTGGAGGCTGGAGCACCTCCTGTATGAAGACAGCTGAGAGAGTGGAGGAAAATCTGTATCTGAAGGGGGCCTACAAGGATGCTGGGGAGGGACTTTTCATCAGGGACTGTAGTGATAGGACAAGGGGTAATGGGTTTGAACTTCAACAGGGGAAGTTCAGGCTAGATATAAGGAGGCAGTTCTTTACTTTGAGAGTGGTGAGGCACTGGAATGGGTTGCCCAGAGAAGTGGTGAATGCTGCATCCATGGCAGTGTTCAAAGCCGGGTTGGACAGAGGTCTTCGGTGATGTGGTCTAATGTGAGGCACCCCTGCCCAAACCGTTCTATGATTCTATTTACCAAAGTATTTTTCTTCTTTTTGTAAGGAAGAGTTATTTTATTTATTTGTACATATAAGTGAGGTGTCCCTGTCCATGGCAGGGGGGTTGGAACTTGATGATCTTAAGGTGCTTTCCAACCCTAACTATTCTATGATTCTGTGATTCTATGATAAGCAAAATGGGAAGGAAGATATTTAGTTGGACCTCTATTTGAAGATGAACACAGATGAAAAGTGTTCACCACATAAAAATTACCAAGAAATTGGAATTCTTCAATTACAGCAGAATATGTTGGAGTAGCTTCAGTTTCTGGAGTTGATGCAATATGAAATACTATAATAAAGTTTCTTTTACAGTACAATGAATTCACAAGGTTTAAAGCACATTGTCTGCTTAGCAAGACATTTTTTCTAAAGAATAAATTGTAGGTGAAAATGAGAACACAAAGAGATTTTCTGGATATTGGCAAGTGTGAAAGTAACATTAAAAGCAACTGACTGCAGTTTAGTAACTGGCATTGAAGCTTCCTCTGGAAGATTGCTGTCCAAGATGTTCTAAGAAAGGCAAGTCTAAGTCTACCTCCTAAATATTGCCTGTTAAAATGCTGGGCAAAAGAAAGGTTTTCTTATCTCCTCATCCAGCTCATTCTTTGCAAAACTTTTTCTGCCACTTCTATGTCATCCACAGGGTTATAGTCCCTTTAAACAAAGATGAGACAAATTTGAATTGAATTCCTGCCCATATGCAGTCAAGTGCTTGTTTCCTTTGCTAAGAAAATTTCATCAGCAAAGCAACTAGAAAAGAAAACCTAACATTGCTATTATTTTGATTTTTTTTAATCCAAAAGTCTAGTATTGTAGCAACATGTTCTTTAAACATAAACTCAAGGCATAAGAATTATCAGGGTAGTGTGTGTTATGTAAATAAAACTGTGTATAACAACTTCATGTCAGCTAAAGAGGTACCACATATGCCTAGCCCATTGCTAGGTGAAGAGGTTTCTGTACAAGAGAAGGGACAGCTGGCAGGGCTTGTCAAAAGATCTTGTCATCAGTCTGCTGCTTAACATTCAGAAAGCTTTAATTTGTGGACAGTCTAGACCTTTCATAAGGTTTATATTTTAAGTAAGTTATTGAAAAGGGAATGGTGTTTGAGAAGTGGTGGACAGGAGTAAATGGCCTGGGATTTTTTTATTGTTATGTTCTTTCTTACACAGTTACCAATTTCTTTGAGGTTTCTTTCTTTTGCTAATAGTGCTGTTTTTAGTTAGTTACAGACTGTAGCAGAGTAATTCTTAAATCTTTCTGTTGGTGAGTACATTACACAGACATTAATAGTTGCATCTTACTTTTATAATCCAGGCAGAGAAATGGGAAATAGCAGATGTTCCTCTCAATCTTTCTATTTTAGCATGCTGTCATTCCAAAGAAAAGCTTTAAACTCACTTATGGAGGGTGAGAGGGGGAAAGAGATTTTCATACTCGGTTTCTGGGAAGCTTTGTGAGAGACTTCACTAGAAGGAAACACTGCAGTATTACACTATAGCAGGGAGAAAAGATAGAAATCTTCAGAAATCATTATTCAGACTCCTCAGTGCTTTTGTAAAAGACTCTTCAGAAATGTTGCCACCCTAAAATTTAAAATGGGCTTACTGTCTTCATAAATAACTTCTGGGGAAAATGAAGTACGATGCAACATACTGCTTATACAACACAGAAAATTCATGTCTTGCATAAAATAGAGTATTGTAATACTTGTTCAGTGAATGCAGTTTTCTCTCTGTGAAAGGAAAAAAAATAAAAATAAGCAATAATTTCTGCTCTGTTTATCAGACAGAAAAGATTTGAGTAGCAGTAGCTTAAATGAAGTATCTGGAAAGAGGATTTATTTATGTATCAGTGTACTGACAGCTGACCCCTTTGAGGCCATCCATGTTCAGCACTTTCAGTCTGAGGCTTCTAATGAATAAATTTGAGGAAAGCAGGCTTTTGCACATTTTGGATGACTTTGGATTTAGCTGACTCAATACCAGGGGAAGAATGTAGTGCTTATTCCTGAAAGCTGCCATTACAGAACCATAATTTCTGACATAATTTCTGATAAAATACCATCAAAATTAGAGTTGAGGAAAGATAGCTTAAATCAAGCATCTAGACATTATTTGTCAGAAAAACAATATATAAAACAGTTGGATTGCCTTTTGTTACAGCAGATCCACATGGATTTATTTTTTTTTTAATAACACAGGATCAAATTTCAGTGTTAATTTCCAAAGGTTGCACATAAAGAAGAAGGAAAAAGGCCTTTTTTTCCCCTCTATCACTAAATGAAGACATCTGAAACACTTTTGTATTTTGGTTGTTTATTGTTTTAATTTTTCATTGCAATATCTACTGCAGATGGATTGGAAACTGCAAATTTTACTGAGTCAGAGTACCTGTGTAATCAAAGTGGAGAAAAATATCTTGCTTCTTTTGTTTTAGTTGATGACTCCTAGAGTCCTAACCTTATTTTTTTTTTTTCTTTTCAGCTTTTTCTGCTCCTCTTTTCAAAAGAAAATATTTGGAAAGGTATTAGAAGTTTTATAGGAAATCAAAAATATTTGGACTTCTTGCAAATTTGTAGTAATTGAAAATCTCCCATCATTTTGGTGGGGTTTTTCTATCCGAAAATACACTGTGTATTTCAGTGATCTGTTAGTTTGCATCTTAAGGAAACTATATGATTTTTTTCAAGTCATCCCAGAACTGTGTGAGAAGTGAATTCAAAGATTTTATTCTGATGGGGTTATTCAATACTGATTTTACTAGGTTTAAAAAATTGAGCAACAGTGATTAAATGTGATTACCTTTCCCCTCGGCTTCTCAGACATATTCTTCTTTGAAACCCTTGTCTTTATTTTCCTTCAGTATAAGTTATGATGTACTTTAAAAACTGCTTAGAGATTGAGTCTATTATGTAATAAATAATTAAACTGAGTTTAAGAAACTCAGTCTGGACACTTTAAATAGGTGGCCTGATTGTTCTGAGCAAGATGATCACCCAGCTGTTCGATCCAGATATGGAAACTTCAAAACTGGGAAAATGATTTTGTCTAAATACAATTTTAGGTTCCCAATTTTAAACTTATTCTAAAGCAGTTCATCTTACTAGGTGGATCCTTTTACTGTAATATGTCACAAACTGTGCCCCAATTGTGGAAACAGGGTACTTGCAAATTCATAAATCCAGGATGTTCTATTTGTATCTTGATTTGGGGGTGAGCGGGAGGAATGTCCCAGCACAGTGAAAAGGACACTTGTAGGAACCCCGTCCAACAGAGGGATGTTACATTCCAAAGATGCCCTCCTGAAGGGTCAGGGTTGGGCATACTGTCATGTGCGTCCAGGTGAATACAGGGGCAGAGTTAATTCATCTGGGTTAAATGCCTTCGTGGAGTCATAGTTGTGATGGTTCTTAACTAAATTCTCTCTTATCTGATGAATAAAAGGCAAGAACTTTCTCACTTCTGCCCCAGCTTATGTTGGTAATATGTGTTATTACTGTGTTAATAAAATCTGAGTGATTGTGTAGCCACCACAGTTAATGACTGAAAGTACCATGTTTACGTAATACTAGTAAGGAATTAGTGTAAAATTTATTTAAAGACATTTTTGAAAAAAAAAAAACAACACAAAACAGCAAAACTGTGAGAGTTCAGTTCAGCAAACTCAGTTTTCTGTCCAAAACAGTAGTAAGTCTTCTATAACCATATCTAACAGCCAGAAACAATATGTGACTCATCATATTGAACTTTTGATAGCTGGTAGTTAACAAATCTATGCAATTGGTGTAGACTGTATGAGCAGACAGAACTGTAACTTGGTGCTGGCAAATCCCAGGAGCAATGAGGCTTCGGTAGGAAACTTGTCATCTGTAGACCAATGTTATTTACAAAGGTGTGTTCCAGATGTGGCAATGTAAACAGTTCATAAGTGCTGTTCAAAACAGCAGTGGACCTCCCTTTCTGACCAGCACTCTTCCAATGTTGCTTTCTCTGCTTTGTGTTGTACAGTGCTGGGGAAGGAACCTATATTAATGACAAGAGTAGGTGTTCTGTACTAAAAGGCTTTTTGTATGCTGGTAACTCAGATTGTGTCATGCATCACTGTAATTTGCTTCAGATTTATGCTGAATCACAAGAAAAATTTCAGATGTGTTGATGGACTATATTTATGCAAAGCTGCCAAAATACAGCATCACTGTTCCAGACATTCTTTTACAGACATTCTGAATACTTTCCCTAACTCAGTAATAGCATATACATTTACGTGAAGCCTGTAAGTAAATGGAAAAATGAATGCACACAATTGTCTGTTATTTCAGTTCTGCTGATCTCTTTGTTAAAATATATGCTGTTTTTACGGGTATAACATTAATATTTCAACATAAACACTTTATTGATTCACGTGAATTGACAGGGCTTTCATTTTTTACCATGTACCAGAACAACTACTAAGTTGTACTAGAGAGCAGTTGTACTCTTGTTGTACCACAAAGAACTCCAGCTGTAGATAGCAAACACTTTGATCTAGCTAACAAGGTAGTCTTTGTGCTTGGAGCTTGTTTATTTCTTCAGGACTATAATTTAACCCTCCAGTTCACATATGTTTGTAAACCTCAGCAGTATGCTTAATGCATGTGTTACTCCCAATTCTACATCACTGCAGTTTCCATAATACAAAGGAGATCTGTAATATGAAAAGGAGGTACAATACTCTCCTTTTTTTTTTCCATAAATTCTTTAAAAAAAAAATTGTTAAAAAAGAAAATGTTTTATCTGCATGGAATTCACACCAGAAGGGCCGACTCAACCTTCTGTTATTTAGGCATTGCATCAAGGCTCAAGGAGATTCACAGAAGTTTCTGCAGGTGTCTTCAGAATTTTCCTCCTCTATGAAATACTGGTTACAATAAAGATGAATGATTATTAATATTTACTTGTTGGGTGTGCTGACACTCATAGCTGTGCATGGATGCTCTAGTCTGCATATTCATTTTTGGTGTGAAGTTTCATTTGCCAGCTTAGGTATACTGCTCACACCATTCTCTTTAATGCCTGAATAAATAATATGTATGGTTTATTAAATACAAAATCAAAATAAAAGTGAAGATAGGCTTGTAAGATGGCACTTCTTATATACTGGTTTAGGGGTGGATATAAATATTAAAACATTCAGATGATTGTAGCTCAAGTATTTTGAGTACCATTTATTCCAGTGGCCTTTCTGAATTCATATTGATAATTAAATTATTTTAATAGGCATAATACTTTATGATAAGTCAGTAAAGTAGTTGCCATGATCTTCAAGAGATCTTCATAAAAGCTGTGTTTACAGATGTTGCTTGAACAATAAATCTGATTCTCCTAAGAGACATTTCCAAGAGGGTAATAATATCTAGAGCTAGCTGCCAGTTTATCTGTATATTCTTAAAGTTTTAAGTCTCAGTTACTCCAAAGATGTAGCTGCAGAAATTAACCAAATTGCATAACAAAAATACTTAAATAATTTCAAATCAATCATAACAAGAAACTGAGCTGTATTATAGATGATGCTTGGAAAGAAAGGGGATATGTGCATAATACAGCATCTAGCACAGGGGTTATTCTATTGCATGTGGCCTGTTTCAACGTGATCAAAATCAGCAGTTCAGTAACATTAGTCATTATTCTAGTTCTGTGAAGTGTGTACAGGAACAAAAAGAGAAGATATTAGATCATTATCTTCTGCTTTATCTTTTTTTCTGAGTTTCATTTTTCGTTTCTTCTACAGAATAAGCCTTTATCTCCTGACATAGGTAAGATTAAAGATCTACTGAAGTAAAAATACTTCAGTGAGACAAATCGGTTAACTTGCCACATATCAAGCCATTTTATAAATTGGTTTGACCTTTTACTTAAAAGAAATAATATTAATATTGCACTTAACTAGTATTAAATAGTGTTTGTCATTAACAGGTTACTGAGGGTATTACAGTTCTGTAACTCATAATGAATCTCTAACCAGAAGTTAAAAAAGATTCTCTAAATAACATTCATTAATTTATTTGGTAATTAATGAAATGTATAAGAAAGGCATGGTTCCTTGAGCAGTCAGATTAAGTAAATATACCCTGTTTCTTTGTAATAATTTTAGGTCTATCAAAGTCAGTTATCGTCAGCTTTCCTTGATATTTTTTGAATGTAACTGCGTCTCCAGAGAAATAAAATGCAGGCTGAGCCTACTTAGCCTTCAGTGAAATGCCCGTGTAAAAGGATGTGCTTTATTATCCATGAAGTGGTGAATTAATCCAGCCATGTCAGTGCTAGTACTATCTCTCTGTTAACTTCTAACTGCAGCAGATCTGTAATAGTTACACTGATAAATAACCTCCCATAGGCTTTGCACTCAGTGTCTTATCCCTACTCCATTAATGCACATGCCATGAGATTAACAATTTTTGAAAAAATCAGTCCTAGTCCACCTATATAGTCCATAAGTGGTGGAATGTTTATCATATTGATAATACACTTAAATTGTTATTGTTTTCACTTTGAATTTGTGGCTTATTTTCAGTTTGAAGCATAATTGCATATGTAAGATATGGCATCTTGTTATTCCTTTTTCTGATAGATTTTAAAAAATCAAGTTGATTAAATTCCTTTGCCTTCTGTCGCACGATGTATTTTAGGCTTTTATGTATTTTTCTTGTGCCTTCTCTGTTTTTCAATGCCAATTATAAATTATAGATGCTCAAACTTGGGTATGTGATTCTAGAAGAGATCTCAGTAACAACCTGTGCAGAACTTCAGGAGAGTCTTTAAAAGAGTTCTGTGTAGGCAGCAAGAGATGAAATTCCTTTGGGGCAAACATAAAGTATATAATTCCAGTGCTTTTTTTATATCCACACTTACTCTGTGGTTATGAAGGTGTCCTGGTATTCAGCACTTGGAAGAATTTTTTGGCCTTACAAGACTCCATAGAATTGGCTTTTTTTTATATCCCTTCGTAATCCATTAGTGAGGCCTCTGCTGCTGACATAAATGGCCTCATCAAAGAGGCAAAATCACATGGGTTAAATGAGATGCATAAATCCTTGCTTCTGGACACTTGACTTCTTTCTTTCTGGTCATACGGAGTAGTTTCCAGTACTGCTGCTCCAGGCAGTCGCCGTAAGCACTGAAGCAAAGCCTGTCTGTGTCCAAGTATATCAGTTGCTCAGCTCCTACTGCCCAGTTACCCAAGTGTTTCCATCTGGAACCAAAAAAAAGTCTCTTATATCTTCCTTTAGCTGCAACAATATTTTCAAGCTAATGTTTCCAGATCAGCATATGAAAAGACTTACTTTTATTTCAGGGTGCTCAACATAACATCTTTTAACTCCTGAGAAGAGCAGTGAACTCAGAGCAATTCTTACTGGTTTGTTGACCATGCGCATCCTTATCAGAGCCTTTGATCCTTCCTCTGAACTGTGTCAAGTGTCAGCACCTGAACAAAAGAAAGCAGTACTACTTCCAGGTGACACATTAGGGCTCATAACTAACAAGCATCATTTGCTCTCTATGAGCATCACATCTTCAGGCAAATTGCTTACTGTTTTAATCTCTAATAACTTTTCTATATGCTATTCAGTTTTTTCACAGGCATGTTAATTTGTGAGTTAGACCTTCTCATGACTCAGGAGTAATTTGCTCAAATGCAGTCACCTAGTCAAGTCCGAACAACACTGTGCAGAACTTCACAAGTTTATAACTGAGTAGGTTGGCAATAGTACAGTCACAGACTTCCAAAGTGCTCATATACTGAAATAATAAACTGGATAATTATCTTAGGCAGGAGTATGAAAAACTCATAGAGTTGTTGACCTGACTCTTTATAGCATGTATGTTGTTTGGATACAGTAAGCATTAAAAAACCCTAATACTTTCTCACCTGTAATAATTAAGTAAAATCTAACTAGGTAAGAAATTTAACTTGCCTGTATTTTTTGCTGAGATCATTCAGGATTAAGAAAAGATTGTAGTAATACTATTGTAGCCATCATTACCTAAAGATAAAAACAATTTGAGACTGATAGAAAGAAGTTAGTATGTGTACATATATTTGATTAAACAAATCAAATAAAGCATATTTGATTAGGCAAACTTCTAGGGTGTGGAAAAAACCAAAGCTTGGAAAGTCAAAAAAAGTCCTTTCAGGTCTGAAAAGCAGTAACCCTCATGAATAAACATGACCTCAGAACAACCTCCAATAACTCAAATAGAAACAGAAAGGGAATTGAAGTGTTAAGGAACTGATCTTCTGTGAGAAGCAGGAAAATAGGTTATTTTCTCTGGAAAATGTAAGAGGCTCCATAGAGTTTAGAGTGCAAATATCTACTGAGAATATTCTGATTTTAATTTTCACTGTTTATTTATTTATGTCTTGTTAGAGCCCCATATACAAAAATCATAGGTGTCCTATCAGTAATTGACTTAGAGACCTTGGTCTGCAAAATGCCTGATCACACAAGGGCCACTCAACTGCCTAAAGCTACTTCTAAATGGAATAAATATATATATATATGCACACTGATAGCTTTAAACCAAAGTTCACTAGAATAATAATGGAGAAAATGTTACTCAGTTTTATATTCTTGAGCAATCTATCCAACCCAAATGCAGCAGAGAGGGTATGAATGGAGGGTGTAGAAGTAGGCAGCTTCAGAGAGCTGGTTAGGCTGCTTTGCTCTGCTTTGAATTGCTTGCCTTTGGATTTTTTTGAAATATTGTATGGGGAGAAATTTTAGAGTGTAGGGAATTCAGACTAAATTATTGATTTGTACAGATATTTAAGCCATGGGCATTAGCATCTCTGTCCTGTTATGATACATATGTTTTCAGCTTAGGTTTGCTAGACATGTGGAAAGGTGTCCTTTTGCATTCATACCAGTCCACCAAAACAGAGTGCTCAACAGCATACAAACCCTGGTGGACCTTACAGCCTGATTTGAAAGAACTAGTGCTAGTTTAGGTAGTAAAAAATTTTAATAGGTGTTTTCCTACATTTTAAAATTGCACTTACATCTGTTTTCTGTATTTGCTTTTGAAATCCCATAAAAATCCACCAATTTAGTCTGCAGAAATTAGGCTAGATAAATTCTTTTCAAAGCAACAAAGCAGCTGCAGGCTTCTCTGTAGCAATGACACTCATTGTTACCTCTCTACTCAATCTAGCTGTCAATTTTTATGAACTGTTCAGGAACAAAGTATACCTGAGGTCACAACCCTTATGTCAGATTTGTTTACAATTGACTAATGGGTTCAAAAGCTGTTGTGGGATTATCTGTCGGATAGATGTGGCACTCCTACAAGCTGCATTTCTTTTGGGCTAAACCTGCTGATCATTTTTTCCAGCAGGAACCAATAAGAATTTCTTTCTTTTTAATCCATTTCTATGCAAAACAGTATCTATATTCATTCTTTAAACTTTTTCAGACCTGGGTGTATGATTCTGATTACATAGTATAATGTACTCCAGACTGGTCAAGGAGGCTTTAAACTATATGTGTTGGGGGAGGGGGGCATCATTCCATCCCAGCACACCCAGTCAGCAGCCAGCATCTATAATAAACGCTCGGAGCAATGCAGAGGTATTCCAGCCCCTCCAGCCAATGAGCTGGTTTCATTTGGAGCTTGGCTCAGATGCCTCTATACAAATGCCCGTATCAGGGGGAACAAACAAGAGGAATTAGAGATGTGTGCATGTCTATGGGGGTATGATATAATAGGCATCACAGAAACATGGTGGCATGGCTTCCATGACTGGAGTGTTGGAATGGAAGGTTACAGGCTTTTTAGAAAAGACAGGCCCAGCAGCCGGGGAGGGGGAGTTGCCCTTTATGTTAAAATCATATAATAGAATCATGGAATAGTTAGGGTTGGAAAGAACCTTAAGATCATCCAGTTCCAAGCCCCCTGCCATGGGCAGGGACACCTCACTCTAAACCATATTCCCCAAGGTCTCGTCCAACCTGGTCTTGAACACTGCCAGGGATGGAGCATTCACAACCTCCTTGGGCAACCTATTCCAGTGCCTCACCAACCTAACAGGAAAGAATTTCCTCCTTATACCCAATCTAAACTTCCCCTGTTTAAGTTTTAACCCATTACCTCTTGTCCTATCACTACAGTCCCTAATGAAGAGTCCATCCCCAGCATCCCTATAGGCCCCCTTCAGATACTGGAAGGCTACTGTGAGGTCTCCATGCAGCCTTCTCTTCTCCAGGCTGAACAGCCCCAACTTTCTCATCCTGTCTTCATATGGGAGGTGCTCCAGTCCCCTGATCATCCTCGTGGCCTCCTCTGGACTTGTTCCAACAGTTCCATGTACTTTTTTATGTTGAGGACACCAGAACTGCACACAATACTCCAAGTGAGGTCTCACAAGAGCAGAGTAGAGGGGCAGGATCACCTCCTTCGACCTGCTGGTCATGCTCCTTTTGATGCAGCCCAGGATATGGTTGGCTTTCTGGGCTGCAAGCGCACACTGCAGCCAGCTCATGTTCATTTTCTCATCAACTAGCACCCCCAAGTCCTTCTCCACAGGGCTGCTCTGAATCTCTTCTCTGCCCAGCCTGTAGCTGTGCCTGGGATTGCTCCGACCCAGGTGTAGGACCTTGCACTTGACATAGTTAAATTTCATAAGGTTGGCATCAGCCCACCTCACAAGCGTGTCAGGGTCCCTCTGGATGGCATTCCTTCCCTCCAGCATATCAACCCAACCACACAGCTTGGTGTCATCAGCAAACTTGCTGAGGGTGCACTCAATCCCACTGTCCATGTCAGTTAAACAAGACCAGTCCCAACACCGATCCCTGAGGGACACCACTCGTTACTGGTCTCCAGCTGGACATTGAGCCATTGACCACAACTCTTTGTGTGAGGCCATCCAGCCAGTTCTTTATCCACCGAGTGGTCCATCAAATTGATGTCTCTCCAATTTAGAGACAATGATGTCGTGTGGGACAGTGTCAAATGTTAGGGATAGGCTGGAGAGTATGGAACTCTGGCTGGGGACAGGTGAGCAGTTAACAGAGAGTTTGTGGGTCAGGGTTAAATGGAAGATAGTGATGGGAGACATTACTGTTGGGATCTGTTACAGACCACCTGATCAAGGAGAACCTGCGGATGAAGCGCTGTATAGACAGATAGGAACAGCCTCACGCTTGCAGGCCCTTGTTCTCATGGGTGACTTCAACCACCCTGACATCTCTTGTTCAGCTGAGAAAGTTGGGACTGTTCAGCCTGGAGAAGAGAAGGCTACGTGGAGACCTCATAGCAGCCTTCCAGTATCTGTAGGGGGCCTATAGGGATGCTGGGGGTGGGCTCTTCATTAGGGACTGTAGTGGTAGGACAAGGGGTAATGGGTTAAAACTTAAACAGGGGAAGTTTAGATTGGGTATAAGGAGGAAATTCTTTCTGTTAGGGTGGTGAGGCACTGGAATAGGTTGCCCAGGAAGGTTGTGAATGCTCCATCCCTGGCAGTGTTCAAGACCAGGTTGGACAAGGCCTTGAGTGGCATGGTTTCTTGTGATGTGTTCCTGCCCATGGCAGGGGGTTTGGAACTTGATGATCTTAAGGTCCTTTCCAACCCTACCTGTTCTATGATTCTATGATAACTGAAGACTTAAAGTCTATTTTAGAGCTGCAATCATTATAGGTTTATTTATGTACAGTTTATGAATAGCATAGAACAGATTACCAAGAGGCATCTTCCAAGGTGATGAAGCAGATCATGCATACTGCACACTTTCAAAATGTGAGGTATGTGAATGTGCAGCAAATGAAGTCTTCCTCTTAAATTGTAATGGTGAAAATGTGACTTCTTAAGCTTCCTACGCCACTGTTTCTCTTTTTGAGGTATTGTTCATGTAGGAGAGTAGGAACAGTTGTCTCTGCAAAGAGACTCCAGTTTTATCTACCTTCACATTAAGCATGCAAGGGCAGAAGGAATTTTTTTCCCTCTTAACCAGTTTAGATTGTAAAGCACTCAAACACCAAAGCTCTGGCTGTAGCTGGAACATATGGGCACTGCTTAATTGCAAATGCACAATAATGCCTGTTTAAATTATTGTGTATTAGCTTCTTGCCTAAGGAGGTTGCTCTGCTTTTAGCTTTGCAGTACAAAATTATGCCATGTGCCTAGATAGGTCTTTAAGTCTTTTGAGAAGGAGTACAAAGCTGTAGAAAAGTCTTCCTTTGATCCGCTAAGGAGATTATTCTTAACTAGGGTCTAGTTTGCACATCAGGATAATTTTGATCTTCTTTCTAGTTGCAATTGGCTCTGAGATTCTCCTGTTTGTGTATCTTACCATGATTACAAACCTATCTCAGAACCAGCCATTATCCTTGTCAGCCATGTTGCCACTAACACCCTTATTTACCTAACTGCTCACACAACATGTTTAACTTGCAGCCACTGAGGTAGGCAGCTTCTCTG